AATCTACATTTTAAAATTTTAGGAAAATATTTTGAAACATTTTGAAAGTAAATAAACTTTACCGGTACCTGAACATAAGATTACAGATTATGAATCTATCAATTATTTTTCAACATCTATGTTTGTTGTTAAAATTGTAGGGTTCTACCAAAAATCGTAGCTATTGCCTATATCCCTACCAATGACCATTATAAAATATTTGGTCTAACACTTTACATAAGAATAAAAGAATTTGTTTGTTTGTTTGGTGTAGTGACCGCTTGGACGTAAATTTGCATAGAAAAACCACACAACAGCCAGAAGCTCTACGGGTAAACTCTGCAACGTCCTGTAAAAGGATACGCAACTTACATAGTGACCGCTTAACACAATTTGAGTTCTCCAGACGTCAGAGCGATGCTTGGGTATTGACTTTCCATGTGCAGATATGTTTTGAAAGTAAAATAGCCATACTGCCCCAACAAACCCCCCCACCCCCACCCCCCCCACCCCCACCCCCACCCCCACCAACCACCCGAACAAGCATGTCGTACAAGGCGACCAAATAGGGTTTATTGATATTGGATGTGTCGGGTCAAAATACGCAGATTTCGCATTCTAGATGTAAACTACTATGCCAGCTCTGGTGAGGACAAAAGCAGGACAAACACACACACACACACACACACACACACACACACACACACACACTTACATTAAGAGTACTGATTGTCCACCATCATTGTGTAAAGTCGCTGCATCTCTCTTGCAGTATTAACGCTTGTGAAGATTGTGCACCTTAGCAGGCCAAATAACAACGGAGATCATGCAATTCGGTCATTTGAGGAACACTTGAGGAATTCCAATCACGTGTCTCCGAATCCACCATTTTTAGAGCCGTGGTAGCGTAGTGTGGAGCCGTAGTAGCGTGGTGTGGAGCCGTAGTAGCGTTGTGTGAAGCCGTAGTGGAGAACCACTGTCGTATATAGACTAGGCGATCCCCTGCGGATCCGAAGGACGTGGGTTGAGTTATTTAGTTTTTAATTCTCTTCTATCCCGTGTCGACCCAGCATTACATGGATACCAGGTAAAGTGTTGGGATGTAAAGGCGAGCAGCTTGATGCTGACCACATCAACCACCGAGTGCCGATTGGTTACAAATTATATTGCTAGCCCTATATGATTTCTAGACATAGAAATAAAAGTCGACTGTAATGTTGTGAATTCCCGGGGAAATACCAGGGAGTTTCCGATGGGGAGGACAAGGTCGGAGGACCAGTAATACACGAGGAAAACGAGATAAGCTGGTCTCGAATATCACGTTGTGAGTGAATAAGGGATACGAGGAAAGCGTGAGACTGGAACGGAAGACGTGAACCCAGAGAGAGTAGTAAGACAGTTAAAGTTCGGACCTGGATGTGTGCAGTCGTGGGCGAGAGAACAGCTGATGAGATTGGAGAACGTATGACCACGTTAGCAGAAATGAATGTTTCCTGATTTCCCGTTTCATCATGTACAAACACTAGATACAATACGTTAGTAAGATACAGATGTATGATCCGAATGATATGAGCGGAGAGAATCAGCGTGTGAGATAAATGACAAGGTCACCAGGATTCAGCCATTCATAGCGACCACGAGGCTGTCGGTAGTGCCTAGTCAGTGTGAGATTGTGGTAACAGCGAAAAAAGGTAAACAACTGAACGTTCGGCGTCTGGTGTGTTCTAGCAACGGTGTGTACTTCAATATAGCAATGTGAAGAATTGACTCAAACCCCTAGCAGAGCACATTGCATTGCAAGACTAAAAAACATATGCGGAATGGTGCTGGAGCGTCAAGTTTAAAAGATGGGGACATAGAGAGAGAGCTGCATGCAATAGCGAAGTTTAGAATGACTTTGCGTGAGTTGGTTGAGGGCCTATGCTCCATTGACGGTTAGAAAGGCTGAAGAAGACTATATAGGTAATATAGACAAACATGATGCTCTGAATGGCATAGTTTTAAAACCAAATTACGTATTTTCAATTCTTTTTTTTTTTTTCTTTAGTTTTAACATATACGAGTGAAATTTGGAGAACCACTGAAGACACAGAACGAAAGTTAAAGGTATTCAAAAATAAATGCTTGAAGAAAATGACGAAAATAAAAGGGAATGAATTAACAAGAAGTAAAGAAATTAGAGAAATGTCATGGTTATCATTAGTATCAACAGATATAAAATAGAGAAAATGTCGCTCAGTTGGCATATCCTGAGAAGAAACCAACAGAAAATAACCAAACAGGCATTCAAATGGGAAAGAAGGGAATTAAGGAGTCGAGGTTAGCCAAAGCTAATCAAATGATGGGGCAACTATCTCCCCTATTGACACACAAGCAGATACCCCGGAGTACTGAAGTGAATCTTATCAGAAGTATTTTTTTGGCAAATACTATGCTATCAGTGCCAAACAATGACACTTACATCCTCCAAGAACGTAAAATAGTGACAAGAGAGATAATATGCCATAGAAGAGCTTAAAAATTGTGTGACCCGTTTGCCATGAAGCTTAAACTAAGATTACCAGATTACCAGAAGAGCTGCAGGAGTTTCAAAGAAAGACATAATACGAAATCACGAAATCAGACGAATGTTAGGAGTAGAGCCAGTCTTACAAATCATCAAAGAACAACAAACAAAGTGGTTTGGACACATAACAAGAATGCCCTGGTACTATCTGCCACAGCGAGCCACACTGAGAAATTACAACGGCTATAGAGCTAGTGGAAGACCTCGGAAAATATGGAGTGATGACATTAAGAACAGCCCTACAGAAATGAACATCACTTTTAGTAGTGCTCTTGACAGAGCTAATCAACGTGTGTTACATTTCTCCCTGCGACACTTCCCTGATGTACGAAGTGGAAGAGAAGAAGAAGAAGAAGGAGTCGAGGACGTCCAAAGGAAACCCGAAGACGAACGTTGATGGGAGAGGCCAAACTGGATTCTGTCCATGATAATGAACTGATTAGACGGAACAGAAGGGAATGAAGAAATGAATTGAGATCCTTGTGTGACATTTGTAACACAACACGATAATAAATGAACTATATGGTCATTATTTATTGTTAATTGTGTGTATGTGTGTGTGTGTGTGTGTGTGTGTGTGTGTGAGAGAGAGAGAGAGAGAGAGAGAGAGAGAGAGAGAGAGAGAGAGAGAGAGAGAGAGAGACTTCATCTTCATCGCACCTAGGAAATGACCTTAGGTGCTCCGATCTCCTCCTGAGTATGCCTCCAGATAATTTTTTTTAGGCTAACAGCTTCCATTCTGTTCTGGCTGATGTAACGACGGGTGGCTTCCGTATGGTTTTCCTGTCTCGCTGATCCAGTTGCTACACCCAGGGTATGCAGTCTATTCAGCAGAAAATCATTTTCTAGAAACCTTAAAGAATCACAGCATTTAGTCTCTCAAAATGTATTGATGATTTTCTCCTGGCTATAATGGACCCGTTCATGATAGTCGCATCGCCAGCCAGTCAGATCATCTGCTCTTTTATTGCCTTTCACAATTGTCAATGCACCTAAAGACATAAGAGAGGATCCTGTACTGTACGATACTACTAGCTTACTGGCTAGTCTCTGCCCTGATTAGTCGAAGGTTTTGGGTTCTAATACCGGCTAGGCGAACTTGGGGAAAACCAGAATTATCCTGGCTCGGAGGTCGACCCAGCATAAAGTGGTAACAAGGAAATGTGTAAAAGTCTATATTCCAGAGGAAAAGAACGACAACGATTAAATAAATCAACTTAAACCCATCGGAACTAAACTAAAAAAAAAAATGTTTAATATTAAACCAACTACGCAAAATCTTTTCAGATTTCATTACTATTTGTCTTCTTAAAGTATATGTCGTGTGGCGTTGATAGTCATGTCTGTCACCACCGTCTTCTAGTCTGTGCCGTGTGGTGTTAATAGTCATGTCTGTCTCATGTCTGTCACCACCTTATTCTAGTCTGTGCCGTGTGGTGTTGATAGTCATGTCTATCTCATGTCTGTCACCACCTTCTTCTAGTCTGTGCGTGTGGTGTTGATAGTCATGTCTGTCTCATGTCTGTCACCACCTTCTTCTAGTCTGTGCGTGTGGTGTTGATAGTCATGTCTGTCTCATGTCTGTCACCACCTTCTTCTAGTCTGTGCCGTGTGGTGTTGATAGTTATGTCTGTCACAACCTTCTTCTAGGAGATGCCGTGTGGCGTTGATAGTCATGTCTGTTCACATCCTTTCAACCAGCCCGGATACAGATGATATTCTTTGCCATGATTTCAAACTGTGTTTCATCCTCTTTCTCATTCTTCCTCTTTCTCCTCCAACCACCTCACTGGCTTTCAATGTCTTTCAAGATATCTTCATTACACTTTTCTTTTTATCTGCGTAGAGTATTTTTTATCATTCGTCTATAAAACCACATCTTCGAAGCTTCCAAATAATTTTTTTACTCATCGACCAACTGTCCTTGAATTACTTCCCTATATCAGGATAGGATTTTTCAAGCTTTCAAAAATTTCTCCTTCTCGTCTCATTTGACAAAGAAAGTTTGCATAGAAGTGTCTTCATTCTGTAAAGTGCTGCCTTCGCTTGAGTTACTCCACATTTAATTTCATTAATACTTCTTTCAATTAATTTACAAATTAGCTTGCCAAGCTCCATCAACATCAAGTACATGGGCGTCTGCATGGACGATCATGTCCATGACAACTTGCGATCTCCAACAACAATAATCAACGCATATTCTGGTGAGGTTTATATGCCATGACAAAAGGTTGTCAGGAATCTGCTCACAGTCTTCATCTGTAAGTCTGTCCACAGGTTACGTACCCGTTTTCCACATTGAACTTCTTTATTGCATCTTCCATATGATATTATCTGGGCACACAAGCACTTAAACGCATACACTTGCTTACAGATTGTCCTATTTACCTTGATGTTGCATGCTGTATGCTTCTTGTCTTTTCAGTACTCACCACTGGACAAACCACTCGTAACCATGTGGACTTGTCTGACAGGACTGCTGTTGCTCTGTGTTGTGTCGTTCACAGCAGGTGAGTTTTTATACAAAAAATACAAATTAGGTAACAAATACAAGACATTTATAATACCCCTGGTGCATAAGACATGTAAGCTTCTCCTTATAGTCCCTGTCCTGTGGCTTTGTCAGTAATCACAGTCCAAAGCCATTTTCAAGTCGTGGTTCCGTGGCTTTGTCTGTCATGTCTATCCACAGCTTTCTTATAGTCTACGCCATGTGGTTTTGGTAGTCGTGTCTATCCTCCTGGACTGCCTTACAGTCTACGCCGTGTGGCTCTGGTAGTCATGTCTATCCACAACCTTCCTATAGTCTTTTTTGTGTGGCTTTGGTAGTCGTGTCTACCCACAACCTTCTTATAGTACGTCCAGTAGTTGTCATTGCTTTTTATACAGTCGGCTCTTGATAACACTGTCGAAAAAAACGCAAGACATTCTGCTGTCAAATAGCGTCGTTCCCGGTATCCTGGCATTACGAAGTGCGTTCGTAACGCCTAAGCCACTGACGCCGACACGTCTGTATTAGTAACGCTTTAATGTAGTCAGTAATTTAAAAGGCTCCCTTTCCGCCTATGGCGCGACAGACGTATTGTGCTACCCGGTCGCCTGATGCTACTCGGTCGCCTTGTGCTACCCGGTTGCCTGATGCTACTCGGTCGCCTTGTGCTACCCGGTTGCCTGATGCTACTCGGTCGCCTTGTGCTACCCGGTCGCCTTATGCTACTCGGTCACCTTGTGCTACCTGGTCGCCTTGTGCTTCCCGGTCGCCTTGATTTCCTTGGCACCAATTTTGTTCTGTGTTAACCTGTGAGCTAAGAATGGAGTTGTGCACATCAGACTTTTGGGGTTGCACGCGAGTGTTTAGCCAGTACGCTACCACCGTTTCCAAGTCTTCAAAACACGTATGTATAATGTTGAACCTTGAATTGACATCACAGCACTCGAGACACTCCCATAATTACTCCTCCCCCATCTTCAGCAGCACGCAAAGAGTTCTAATTCGGATAGCACCAGTAGCCGTCTGATAGTATATCCGTCTCATCCTTTCCCTGCGTGTTGAGCGTCTACAACATAGAACCGTCCGTGGGAACGACGCAGAATGAATAGGAGGCAGGAGGAAATCTTGCGCCTGGCTAGATCAGCACAATGTTAGTGTAGTTTATAAAGTACTTCCTGAGCCACGTGTCCTTATCACAAGATTACGGGGGGGGGGGCGGTGTTCCGCAATGCCATTGATATAGCACGTTGTATATTTCATCAGGCCAGTGCTTTTAACACTGCAAAACCATGGAGAAACGTCCTTACACAACCCTTTAGAGAGTGCTGCAACCTATATCACAGGCATTCTCTTTCTCAAAATAAAAACGGAAATTCAAGACAACCCAAAAAGCAAACAACAGATAGGGACACAGCCGTATCCTAAAGTCGACGCCCAACAAACTTGTCAATGAAACGTTACCTATTTTGTTTGGGAAGACTAACTTAAACCTAACACATATATAAATATACCCCTGCATTGCTCCACAAACTTCTTCTTGCTGCTGTTGTTGGCTATGCTGTCTCAACAATGAAGGTTGGATACAGTATACCACTATTGTCTTTGGGGATATTACGTGGTAAGATCCCTATCTCTGCCATATCAAGATTCTCGTACTATAGTCAGAAAACCACGGAAATGGATTTGACAGCGGCTTCAGTTCGTTCAAGGCAGACATGAAAGGACCCTGTACTTGACTATACTACTAGCTTACTGGCTAGTCTCTGACCTGATCAGTCCAAGGTTTTGGGTTCTAATACCAGCTATGCAAACTGGGGTGAAACCAGAATTATCCTGGCTCGCAGGTCGACACAGCATAAAATGGTAACAAGGAAATATGTAAACGTCAATGAGATTCTAATTCCAGAGGGAAAGAACGACAACGATTAAAAAATTAACTGAAAAGCATCAGAACTAAACTATAGAATAAAAATTTTAATAATAAACCAACAACAAATAAACTTGTCAGATTTCATTACTATTTGTCTTCTTGAAGTCTATGCCGTGTGGCGTTGGTAGTCATGACTGTCACAACCTGCTTCTAGTCCATGCCGTATGGCGTTGGTAGTCATGTCTGTCACAACCTTCATCTAGTCCACGCCGTGTGGCGTTGGTAGTCATGTCTGTCACAACCTTCATCTAGTCCAAGCCGTGTGGCGTTGGTAGTCATGTCTGTCACAACCTTCTTCTTGTCCATGCCGTATGGCGTTGGTAGTCATGTCTGTCACAACCTTCTTCTTGTCCATGCCGTATGGCGTTGGTAGTCATGTCTGTCACAACCTTCTTCTTGTCCATGCCGTATGGCGTTGGTAGTCATGTCTGTCACAACCTTCTTCTTGTCCACGCCGTGTGGCGTTGGTAGTCATATCTGTCACAACCTTCATCTAGTCCACGCCGTGTGGCGTTGGTAGTCATGTCTGTCATAACCTTCATCTAGTCCACGCCGTGTGGCGTTGGTAGTCATGTCTGTCATAACCTTCATCTAGTCCACGCCGTGTGGCGTTGGTAGTCATGTCTGTCATAACCTTCATCTAGTCCACGCTGTGTGGCGTTGGTAGTCACGTCTGTCACAACCTTCATCTAGTGAGAACTTGTAGTGACAGGTGCCTTCTCAATTATTTCCTTGCAGAACCTGTTAGTTTCCGCTGCGATAAAGTCATCAGTGATTCCATGTGAAAAAAAAGGTAAAAAAAAAAAAATCAAGCACTGAACTGTTTGAATTTACAGTAGCAGAAATACAGCCAAAACTGGAGTCTTCAAAATTATGCATACTGGCATCGAATCATAGGTTGACTAAGACAACTGATCAATTTTTGCCGTTTGTTGCCGCTTCATTGTCGCTGCTTTCTGATTCCGATGACATCGGACAGGCAAACAGCTTTTTGTTGGTCACGCCGGTTTGAGCCGTCGAAATTGATGGCCTAGTCAAATCTTGTTCACTGTCAGAAATACACATTTTAAAGTCATCTTCGCTATCACAACTTGGCAGAAACTCCATCAATTTTTCATCAATGTTCTGGCCATTTAGTACTAACAAAGTGTTGAATAACCCAAACCCACAAATATATGTCAGGAAACAAAATACACAGATCACCGACTACGCTGTCACGGTAAACAAAGCAACGGTATAAGGAGGAATGCAGTAAACACACCTTAAACACACCTAAATGCACGTGCCAGTGCTTTTAATCGTATGTAAATGGGTCAGTTGAATCTAAATATAGCAAATGTATATTGTCCTTTGGCTCCTGAGACAAGAGGTCACAGAAATCTGTAAGGAAAGTCCAAAAACGGGTTGGTACGTCCATTGCACTGGGGGTCAAGAAAAACAAAATAAAGTCTAAAGACGGGCGTAGCAGCGTACGGGAAAACGGGATAAGACGTCCATAGGAGCGAAAGGGCTAGTCCATGTCGTGTGGCTCTCTTTCGTGGAAGGCGTGAATAAGCAACTTTTTTTGTTTTTTTGGGTTGAATGTGCGAGCGAGTGTTTACCTAATTTTCTTTTTCTCAGTGGAATAGGTATGTTGTACTTATAGTCATGAAACTGTTTACCGCAGTCGCCAACATTTGCTGCTATTAAGATATAAATAAATATGTTTTTTTTTCTTTCTCTCTGAATTCAAACTGCTTCTTAGCTCAGCGCATACAGGTGGGAGAGATTGACTGCGCGGCTGATTCCAACACATGGACCAAAGTCCCCCAAGACTCGCCAGGGAGAAATAACCCGAGAGAATCGCTTTCATCTGTCACCTTTGCGTCTCCTTACTGCAGGCCACCGAAAGTGCTTCTTACAGTCTCACACTTGGATGCTGATCACACGTTGAATCTGAGGTACATCGCCAGGCTGTATTCCGTCACACCTACAGGGTTTAACGCCAGTTGTTACACCTGGCATGATACGAAAATCTACAGGATGAAACTCAACTGGTTGTCTCTGGAAGATTAAACATCTTGAACTTTGAAACAGAGATAGGTCAAGGATTTTTGTTGACAGTGTAGTGCAAATATAATAGTCCAATATTAGACATTGCTTTTTTATGTTGTCATTGTAGATGTGGGTGTTAGTAGAAGGTTCATGATTAAAATGTGTCATTAAGTCTTGCCTGACACAGCAGTGGGCAACTTTTTTCCTGGTCCGCGGTTCAGATTTAGAATCGCCACCCTGGTCACAACCCATGTAGATAATTAAGCTCATTAACTCTTGAGTCCTAGGGTGTTTAGCATCACAGGCCCAGGTGGTAGTAAAGAGAGTAATACAATTGGCGCATCATGGGTTCATTGGGCTTCTGGGTAGGAACATATGAACGTATGATGCGTTCCTTGGGACTCAAAGAGTTAAATATTGAAGACTTAGATCTCAGTAATACGAAATTTTAGTGGGGAAATCTAAGTCTAAATTTCTTCGCTACGCCACTGGCCACACACAATCGCCAACTGAAGCACTTTTATATATTTCTAAAGTGTCTGTTCAAAGAAAAATAACAGTGGTGAAATTATATTTTACTATCAATGTCGGTTGACAAACACTGTTCTTAATGTTTTTTCGCAACACGTTCTCAGCTAGCAGGGTCATGGATTTGGCAGCTTAAGTTTGTGGCTATTACAGATTATTTATTAGTCTTACACCAGCCCTGCAGGCCAGCAACAGTGCTCGGTTGGCCACATTTTGGTCTATTGTGTGTTTGTTACTTGGACTCAGAACGCTCGCCTGCGGACCAGAAGGTCGTGGGTTCGCTTCCTGGCGGAACGGACTTTTTTTTCTCTAAAAATGACCTTGGCTCCCAGGTAATGTTGACCATATCCCCCATCTTGTGCCGACTGGTCTATAAAAATACAGCTCTATATGCCCTAGACTCCTAAAGGCATGAGAAAGGTATTAGTATTAGTGGTAGTAGATTTTTACCCCACCAGGACATCACACAATTGATAAAAACCCGATGACACAAAGTGCCTCCAAATGGATGAGGATCACCCGTGGAGAGGTCTCAGAAACCGCGTTTAGCCATTAGACCATATTTATGGAAGGCCAAAAAACACATGGAGAAGAGAGCTGGAGAACAAGGTTAGAAAGATTGGGAGGACATGGAGAGAGCTCCATGCAATGGCGAAGGATAGAACGACTTGGCGTGAGTTGGTTGAGAGCCTATGCTCCATTGGGGGATAGAAAGGCAGAAGAAGAAGAAGATATTGCGGCCCCTGGCAAGAGCCAGGGTGCCGCTTTGAAATAGAGGAAAATTGCATCTCACATGGAGATGAGAGGACTACGATATTACGTGAGAAAGGGTCTTTTACTTACTTTTATCGGAGCACAGAGCTTCCAAGCTGGTGCTCCGTGGAATTATAAGGGCTTCGAATATACATTAAAACGATCCACGGCTGCTCCAGCAAAGTCAATAGAATATAAATGAAGTTACACTTGTATTCTCTAGCTGTTTACCAAACTCCCTCCACTCTGTAGAATAACAGCTAAACACAGTTACAGTGTAGGATATAGGGTACCGGGTGAGTCTTCGTCGAGGTTTCAACATCACTACAGACACTGCTCCATAACTGCTCCTTTCCCGTGTCTGTGGATGTCACCCAATTTTGTCGTTCATATCTCCGTTTGTTAACTGGTACAAAAGTTACAAACTCTTTGTGCAGTCGCAGACAAATTTCCAGTTGGGGTACTGTAGTGTGGCCCTGAAAACGCGAATCATTCATTATAATACCGACTGTTGCTGAAACACTCGTCCCACATGATTTTTCCACTTGCAAAGAGAATTTCACAAATTTTAACAGTGGTGTTATCTCCGTCGACAACTGCAGGATTCAAAAATTATGTATTGGAACAAACGTCCGGTATGTCGTTGCTCCACTCCACGGTTGTATTCTTCGACATGCACACAGCTCTACTGGGCAAAATGCAATACTTGTCAACTCTCCTTCTTCTTGTTCTTCTTCTTCATGTTCTTCTCCTTCTTGATGTTCTTCTTCTTCTTGATGTTCTTCTTCTTCATGTTCTTCTTCTTCTTCTTCTTCTTCATGTTCTTCTTCTTCATGTTCTTCTTCTTCATGTTCTTCTTCTTCATGTTCTTCTCCTTCTTGATGTTCTTCTTCTTCTTGATGTTCTTCTTCTTCATGTTCTTCTTCTTCTTCATGTTCTTCTTCTTCATGTTCTTCTTCTTCTTCTTCTTCGTCATGCTCTTCTTCTTCATGCTCTTCTTCTTCATGTTCTTCTTCTTCATGTTCTTCTCCTTCTTGATGTTCTTCTCCTTCTTGATGTTCTTCTTCTTCATGTTCTTCTTCTTCTTGTTCTTCTTCTTCTTGATGTTCTTCTTCTTCATGTTCTTCTTCTTCATGTTCTTCTTCTTCTTCATGTTCTTCTTCTTCTTCATGTTCTTCTTCTTCTTCATGTTCTTCTTCTTCTTGATGTTCTTCTTCTTCTTCTTCTTCTTCATGTTCTTCTTCTTCTTCTTCTTCTTCTTCTTCTTCTTCTTCTTCTTCTTCTTCTTCTTCTTCTTCTTCTTCTTCTTCTTCTTTTTCTTCTTCTTCTTCTTCTTCTTCTTGTTGTTCTTCTTCTTCTTGATGTTCTTCTTCTTCATGTTCTTCTTCTTCATGTTCTTCTTCTTCTTCATGTTCTTCTTCTTCTTCATGTTCTTCTTCTTCTTCATGTTCTTCTTCTTCTTGATGTTCTTCTTCTTCTTCTTCTTCTTCTTCTTCTTCTTCTTCTTCTTCTTCTTCTTCTTCTTCTTCTTCTTCTTCTTCTTCTTCTTCTTCTTCTTCTTCATGTTCTTCTTCTTCTTCTTCTTCTTCTTCTTCTTCTTCTTCTTCTTCTTCTTCTTCTTCTTCTTCTTCGTCTTCTTCTTCTTCTTCTTCTTTTTCCTCTTCTTCTTCTTCTTCTTCTTCTTCTTCTTCTTCTTCTTCTTCTTCTTCTTCTTCTTCTTCTTCTTCTTCTTCTTCTTCTTCTTCCTCTTCTTCTTCTTCTTCTTCTTCTTCTTCTTCTTCTTATTTTTCTCTTCCTTCTTCCTCCTCTTTGTTTGCCGGCTGTAAACTGCAAAGAAAAGTCCTGGTTGTTCGACCGTCTGGAGTTTGGCTTAGTTCCAGAGCTTGAGCTTTACGTGTACATCTATTTTACTTGTGTGTGCATGTGTGCAGTTTGTTGCTTGCTCCTGGTCGCTCGGGCAGATGCACTCCCACTTCATGAAAGGTTTCCAATTGTCAACTGCTAAAGCAATGGGGTCCCGGAACCCACACGAGGAGAAACATTTTTCAGCTTTAAGGTAATGTTGGGGTCTCTGACAGTCAGCAAGTGGCTTGCAGTATAGACAGGGTATCTATCTATCTTCTTTTACCCCACCAGGACATCACACAAGCGATAAACACCCGATGACACAAAAGTGCCACCATGTGGATGAGGATCACCGTGGAGACGTCCCAGAAACCGCATTCAGCCATTAGACCATATTTATGGTCGGGCTATATTGCGGCCCCTGGCAAGAGACAGTGTGGGGCTTCAAATAACAAAAAATTGCATCTCACAAGGAAATGACTGGATTATGGTGTGAGTGTAAGAAACAGGGTATGGTGATTTAAGCATGAGTGGGTAAAAAAGTTTTTCGCTATTTTTCTTTTCTGCCCAAGACATTACCTAGTCTATAGGTAACATTATCAGCCGCCATGCCACAGCGGCTCTGTAAGGTAGATAACAATGAAAACGATCAGACACAACTTGTTTTACGAGGAATTGCAATTGTGTCCCTTTTAGTTCGATGGCAGAAGTATTTTGCAAAATGGAGCATATTCTTTGCAATTTGTCTGTTTCAATGAAAACAACAAAGGAAAATCATAAGAGTTATATAAATAAAATCCCTGATAGACGGAATTGTATCATCGGCGAACAGTTCGCGCACAGGCTCGTCGGTAGACGACTTCGTTTGGGACAGTATTTGGGTCTGTCTCCTGTGATTAGTCGGCTATGTGGCTAAGTTGATGCGAACGCTTCGTAATGCCAGGGTGCCGGGTTCGATCCCAGCTGCGGGCCATGCGCCTTGCGTTGGTTTCGACAGTGGTATCAGGGAGCCGACCGTCCAGTAAGCAATGGCAAACTACTGACATAAATTTACCTAAAGAAACCACACAACAGCCAGGGGCTGCTGGGGTTGGTTCTGCAACGTCCTGTAAAGGATACGCAACTAACCTCATGTGATTGCATCAACAGTATAAGAGTTCATTTCAGAACTACTTGGTGGAGAGCGATGCTGAGCCATTTTATCTGGCGCACACAACCTAGTCACAATAATAACCTAAAGCTCCTCTTTCGGTGATGCCTGCTGAAAGTAACGAATTTTTTTTTTTTTACGAAACAAGTCGCAATACGGAAGTGACTAATGAAATGCTGGACAATTATGATTGCACAACCAACAAACTGTTCACTACCTACGGAACCAACAGTGAACAGACTGCATTGCAGAATATCTTTGAGTTTCAACGCTTGAGCGAAAACCAGACGTCTTTCCTCAGCCTGGATGAGCGAAGTTAGTTTTCAATAGCCAGCCAGTTAATCTTTATTGTATAGATGTAGGTGTCAAGCCATGTTTAACACTTGGCTGCGAACTCTGTAGGTGTGACTTCACAGAGGCGAGATTCATATCTGATGTTGATTTTTTGGTCGGCGTCAAGGAGGGAGATGGAGAGATGACTGTTGGTGCCCCGCAGTAGAGCGAGGGCAATGACATTATTCAAGAAATCCTTTTTGCTGTCAGTTTTCAGGACAACTGTGTGACTTTTTTTTTTTTTACGGCAAAGATGTGGTTTTTATATACGAATGCTGAGAATGTCATGGACAGGTAAAAGAAGTATTGGAGATGTCTGGAAGGAAACGGACTCACGAAGAGAAGCGATTGCCCACGTCAGAAAGAGACAGTCTACATTCTTTAGTCGTGTAAAAAGAATGGAGAAAACTGG